CCTCCTTGCTGCTCTGGTGGAGAGGTGGTGGGACACCACTGACTCCTTCCACCTTTTCGCCACCGAGGAGATGACGATGACTCCCTTTGACTTCTCTATGCTCATAAGCATCGGAGTGGGGGGCGATCCGATCCCCTTTGATAAGTGCATTGACAACACCTTTACAAATTTTTCCTTGCATCGAATAAAGTGTATGAGTCTTCTTACACTTAGCTACCACCAAGGAACCCTTTGTGAGCTTCCATATTCCATCACCAAATTTGTTGTTGAAGCCTTCATCATCTAGCTTCCCGGTAGAGATCAAATTGAGGCGAATGTCGGGAACATGCCTCACATCTTTAAGCAACAACTTGCCGCCCAAATTTGTTTCTAAGCAAACATCACCCATACCAATAATCTTGGACAAGCCTTCATTACCCATTCGAACAGAACCATAATCTCCTTCGGTATAGGTAGTGAAGAAATCAACTAGAGAAGTCACATGAAAAGAAGCACCAGAATCAATCACCTAATTGCTCTCTTGGCACACAAAATTGATACAATCATCTTCACAAACAACCATGAGATTACCATTGGTAGTAACTGCCGTTGTGTCTTCTTGCTTCTTGTCCACACTTTTGTCACGCCTTTTCTCCTTATTCTTGAGCTTTCGGCATTCTCGCTTCATGTGCCATTTCTCATGGTAATAATAGCACTCAATGTCTTTCTTTAAAAAGGAACCATCTTTTGATTTATCACGGCTTTGATCACGACCATGAGGAATTTTACTCCCTCTTGTTTTGCTTCGGCCTCTCACAACGAATGCTTCCGAATGAGAGGAACCTGCTTATTTTCTTCTAGTTTCTTCATTCAATAGGCTACTAGTGACTTGGCCCATTGTGACAACTCCATCGAGCGTTGAATTACTGACGGTCACAACCAAAGTCTCCCAACTTTCGGGCAAAGAACTAAGTAGCATCAAAGCCTGCAACTCATCATCAAAAACAATTTTCATAGAAGCAAGTTGGTTAACAATACTCTTTATTTCATTCAGATGTTCCGGAATAGGGCTGCCCTCCTTATATTTTAAATTAACCAACTTACGAAACAGAAATGCTTTATTTGTGGCTGATTTCCTATCATAAAGGCTCTCTAATTTTTTCCATAAATCATGTGCTGAAGTTTCAGTAGCAACATGATAAAACACACTGTCATCAATCCATTGACGGATAACACCAACGGCTTTTCGATTAAGCCTATTTCATTCATCATCTTTCATACCATCGAGTTTGCCACTATCACCCTCAATGGGTCCATACAAATCTTTACAAAATAATAGGTCCTCCATTTTAGTTTTCCAAGTTACCCAATTACTTCCATTGAAGTTAGACATACGACCCACATTCCCCTCTATTAATTTATACAAATATATAAACCCAAATAAATCGTAAACTCTGATACCAGTTGTTAGGGAAAATATGTGATTCCCCACAAGTAAATCAATTAATGGGAATAAAAACTAATGCGGAAAAATTAAATCAAAGGCAACATAAGAAATTTTACGTGGTTCCCTCAATGTGAGGTACGTCCACGGGATCGAAATCCGATTCTACTATCAACCAAATAAAATTCCAAACGATTACAAAAGAGACACTAATGGTCTCACAAAACCACCCTTAGGTGAATTCCAAATAATCACAAATAAACAAGAGGAAAGACCTCACCAAATAGATAAATCAAAATCTTCAAAACCAAAATTGAAGAAGACCCAAAATAACAAACCAAATCAATTTCAGAACAGAGGCAACATGAGCATGAACAAATCAAGCACCTTGACCAATCTTTACCAATCGGCACTGTTACCGAAGCTATATAGCAACAGCCCACTTTTTGGTGAAAAATCCAAATCTATATCTCTCAAATATTGAACAATATATATTGTGAATTTAGGGTTTTGTAATTAAATCTTAATTGTTTTTAAATTGAATTGGGTCTCCTCAAATATAATATATAAAAATATATTATACCTAAACTAAGCTAAATTAAAATTCTTTAACAAACCAATTGGGTCTCACACTCCAATAAAGAGGCATATCCAACGCATCAAAAACAATATGAATTTAGAATTGCAAGATTAGCACTAATTGTGCATTATTAGCCTTGACAAGATATGTTTTTCCCTTCCCGATACTTCAATTAATGCAATGAATTGAAGTGAATCTGAATTATTATTTTTTTTAATTTTTGGGGGGGGTTTAAAAAATTGAATCTGAATCCTTTTTTTTTTTTTTGTTTTTTTCATATTTATTTATCACATTGCAGATTTGGAGGATGATTTAATTGATAATTTGGTAGAGTTTTGGCCTTGCATGGGAACCTCATTTTTAGTTAAATAGTCAAAAAATTATTAAATTAGTCAAAAAGTTAACAATTCATACCAAAAAGTCAAAAATTTTCTTTTCTCTCTACTTTTTATACGTCTTTTCGTAAAAAATCAAAAAGTCATCCCAAACATATTAATTTTTTTAACTCATATTTTAATCAAATAACTAAAAAATTACTAAATTAGCATCTTCCCAAACGAATTCACTTCAACTACGTATAAAAAATAAGATTCTATTTGTGAGAATTTTTTCTTAAACCATCAAAATTATGTTGTCAAAATTTATTAACAATTATTAATTTGACACGACTTATTTCAGCGAAACAGATCAAAATGAGGGACAAAGAATCTAATCAAATACTTGCACATTACTATTTTTTTTCTTTTTTTCTTTTTTTCTTTTTTTCTTTTCTTCGCTTCCACTTTCTTTGCCTCTATAGTGTCTGAAATGTTTGATTATCAAAACTACATATAACACCTTGAAGGAAATTGACTAGTAAATTCAATAGAGGTTATCCTCATTTAAACCTTCTTCCAAAGAATTTTTTTTTTTTTTTTTAAATGAAATATACAACAAATTTTGTAATTTTAACATAATTATATTGAGTTCTCATAAGATTTTAATATATAACATTTGACTCATTTTTCATTTATAATTCGTTAATCGAATGGACAAAAAAATAATATTATCATCTATTTTATACTGAAATATATATATATATTTTATATTTATACTTATGTCTTCATATTTTTGTATTAATTTCAATCCATTTAACACTATTAAAAAGAAGATTAGTGTAATTATATTAAACTTGCAAGATTTATAATATATTTTTTTTAAACCTCAATAAAAATCAATTTATTTTTTTTCAAATATCGGGAGAGATGAGATTTGGAAAGAAATTTCAATCTTCACATGCAGAGGAGTTAAATTTTTAAAGACACTCACACAAGTCCCTTATATTTACAATTAAGACAATTTATTTATTTATAGTTTTGCCTAAGAACATTTTATTCATTTGCTTCAAATATCATCAAACTCGAAAGATAGATCCACAAACTAGTCCGAGGATAGGAAACAAACAAAAATATCATCAAACTCGAAAGATAGATCCACAGACTAGTACGAGGAGAGGAACTAAACAACAATATCATCATATGATCATAATTAAAAACGCTCCCATATAAAATAGTAAAAATTTTATTGCATAAATAAAGAATCAAATCCTTTTAAACACATCATAACTAGAAGACTCTCAAACAAGGCATATATTTTAAAATTCAAAATCAGCACCATCATCAAAGCCAGCATCATAAGCAGCCATCTCTCCCACATCAGAAATCATATCACCCACCAAAAGCCCTCCCAGCAACCCTGCTCCCAACCCTAGCCCTAACTTACTCCCCTTCTTTTTCTTCTTCCCCTGTTGCGGCGGCATCGCCCCCATTCCCTGCGGCGGACCATACCCATACCCCGCGGCCGACGGCGGATACCCGTACCCCGGCTGAGGCGGAGGATATCCACCGTACCCGGACGGCGGAGGAGGAGCATATCCATACCCCGGCGCCGGCGGAGGATAAGCATACGGCGCCGCCATCCCCGGCGGAGGAGGAGCGTACCCGACCCCCGGAGGCGGCGGAGCGTAGGCAGCTGGATGGGCGGGGTAGGCCGTGACGGGCTCGTCAACATTCTTGGATTTAACGGCCTCGGCTGGCTCGACGGTGAAGCTTTCTCCAAATTTGTATGAGAATTTGAGAGTACCTTTGGGTTTCCCGGAGGGAGTTTTGACCTGGTACTCGACGACTCGCTCAGAACCATCGTCTGCGGCGGCGGAGTGGGAGTCGGAGTCAGAGTCGAGGAGTTGGGAGAGGGGGAGGGTGATGTGGCCGATGGGGCGGTTGCCGAGGGGGCGTTTGGAGATGATGTTGAAGAGGAGAGAAAGAGAGGAGAGAGAGGAGGTGGGGAGGGAGAGGGAGATGCGGTGGTTCCATTTGGGGGATTTGCCGCCGTCTTTGTCGACGGGGGTTTGGCGGGTGGATTTGGGGTCGTTGGGGAGGGAGACAACCACGTAAACGTCCATTTTGGATATCAGGTTCACGTCTTTCAAGTCCTCCGCCGATATCACCGTGATATCCAACGGACGATACTCCATGGTTTGGTTTGGTGGTTGCTTTGCTTTGCTTTGTGTATTCAACAAAAACTCAAATGATTGAAACCTTTGTTTTGTTTGTGATGATAATGATGATTTGATATGAGAGAGAAAGAGAGAGAATAGGAAGAATTGGATGGTGTATGTAAATCTGACTTAGGATGTTATGAAATTCCCTATATATACATATATATGAATAGGGGGGTTAAATAAAGGAGGAAAAGACAGAGAAGATTTGGTAACGTAACGAAGGAGGTGGAGAAGGAAACCGAGTTTTTAAGAATAGGATTGGGGGTGGCAGACAGTGATGACGATTTATATTATATATGTGGTGGTGAGAGACAGGGACCATTCTGTTTGTTCTTATTCGCCGCGTTTAGATTTCTTTTGTTTGTAACCGATCGAATTGCTTCGACGCGTCATCCTATTCGAATGTTCTCACGCTTTTTCTAGAACTTACTTATTTACTATAATTTTCACAAATTTTTATTATATTTTATTATAAAAAATAATATATAAATATATGAGATTTTCTTTTTAAATCGAGTGATGTGTAAATAAGTTAAATGTTCGTTTGGCATTGGCTAACATAGTCAATTTTTTTGTGTTGAGATTTTTTTAACTTGATTTTTTTAATTTCGCTTGACTTTTATTTTTGTGTTTTTTTTTTTTTTTGTAAGAGAAAAAATATAATAATTATGGATAAAAAGTAGTTTTTTTATCTTATTGACTTTTGTAATTAATTTTATCTTTTTGTAATTTTTTAGCCCAATTCAAAAACCAAACAACAGCTTAATTTTCTCCGATTTTGAATTCAACTGGGGTTTGGTGGAGAAATCGAGTAGTATGAATACAGTTTCTGATTTTGAATTCACCATATATATATATATATATAATCTGATCCATTAAATTCAATTTAAAACACTGAATCAAATTATTAAATACCTCCAAAATAATAAAAAAATATATTTTTTTTTTTTTGAATCATCGTATTGGTATATACTACCATGGTTAATAATAATATTTTGAGCAGTGATTAAAGGATCTAAAATTAGCGTTTTAATTTGAATTTTAGTGACGTGGTGTCGGAAAAGAAAAAAAAAAACACACGCACACACACAAACTAGCAAACATAATCACATTACATGGTGGGTCTTAGAGCATCCGTATCAAATTACCTAAAATCATTTTTTAGCTAAATTAGTGATACTGTTCATCAAAAATAAACTGTATCAGTCTCGCTACTGTTCATTGCTAATATACGAGCGTTACAGTACCTCGCTACAACAAGCGAGGTACTGTTCATAGCTAGTTGTGTGTTATCGGACGTCCACCCGAAGTTCGGCCAGACGTCCGGCCGGTTAACTGGTCAACGAAATTTCATTTATTTATTTATTTTTTATATTTCCTCCAATTTTATCTTTTGTAAAACATAAGAATTGTTTGATTCATAACTCATCAATTTAATTATATAAAAAAAAAATAACAAATATTTTAATAGGATTGAGTTAAAATAAGGAGTTTGATACAATAGAGTGACTAGCTAAAATAAAAAAATAACTTTTTAAGTTATAATTTGACTACAATTTTGAAGAGCGTGATGCTCTTACTACTTAGATTTCCAAAATTAGATAATATTTTTATTATAACATATATAATAATAATATCATCCCCACTTTCATTGATGTATAAATGATATTCAGGACAAAACTATTCATCAGTTGTTTCTACACTTTTTTGGTTCACTAATAAGTTTTTTTTTTTTTTTGGCAGTGGAATGGAATCTCATTCTCCTCTCCAGAGCCAGCTCAAAAGACCATACTGCAACTGGCAGTATGAAAAACAAGTACCACAACTTTCAATCTATATGCTGCCTCAGCATCAACTCTATACATGTAAACAACCCTACAAGTTGAGATTTTCCATAAAAAAACACGGCTCAACCAACGATCCAACAGCCCAAAACGAGCCAACCTAGCCTTCAGAGATCAGGTCCAGACGGAAGATTTGTCATAGGAGGAAATTTAATCACCAGCATTGTTGTGGGTTGCGGTGCCTTTCTCTTCCAACTCCATTTTCTTGAGAGAATCTTGTTTCGGGCTTCAGCGGCCTTGGAGGTCATTGTTTCTTTTCCATCTCGACGGGCTTCTGGGGTTTTTTGAGGAGCATTCTTCTCCACAGTCAAGAGACTTCATGTAGTTGATTTTCTTTATCCTCTTTGCTGCCAATCTTTGGTGGGTTTGAAGATGGCAGATCATTGATATTCTCGTTGGAAGGTTGGCTAGAACCCGTAGTAATAAAACAAGCTGGAGATTTAAGGGCATGAACTTTGTCAGACTCGATCTCTCAAATGGAGCTGAAGAGACCGGAATTTCAGAAAGGCTAGCTAGCGGTGTAACCACGGGACTATTTCTTTTTATATACCATGGAGAGCTTGTAAATCACCCATCAATTGTGCAAGCTTTAGCTCAAAGATTTTCCTGTCTCAACTTTGCTTCCAATCACAAAGAAATGGAGCTCAAGAAACTTATGTTATGTTATGTTTACTAGAACAAAAGCAGAATGGAATGGAATATTCCTTGTCTTCTTGTGATGAACTAAATACGACCATGGAGCAATTTGAAATGATAATTATGAAATCTCATTGAATATTTTAAAAATCAACCTAATATGTATATGGGAAATTTGGAATGTATCATATGCATTCCTAATTATAATTTTTGTGATTTTGGTTATGACATATTGTGTTATTAGTTATGTAGGAAAATATTTTCAAAAAATCAATTTAATGCAAATAAATAATAAAATGGCTCGATCACAAACTGTTCTAACTTTTGAAAAAATTTGTAAAAAATTTATTGTGAGGTTTTATTATTTATTTGCATTTAATTGATTTTTCAAAAATATTTTCCAGCAATTTTAAGATAGTAATTCGCCTGTGCCTTTGGTGCTTGCAATTGATAGGCGTCTTGCCTCCAGGACACAATGATCATCCCACACAGAAACTGTACAACTTTTATATGTATAGCGAATCAATTTCTGTTATGCACTCTCTTTTATACTTGATTATAACATATGTATGAATCTTAACACTTGTTTTCCAAATGAATGTCATAGGAATAGTATTTATAGAAGTATTTGTGACCATTCATAAAAGTTATGACTCTAGGGTCACACTCTTTTATATGAAGAGACACCATGAAGAGTTGTACCCTTTCATTCAAATGGAGTCAATTATCATTCACTTCTAAAAATTTTCAATTGTGATATTGATTATGTCATTATTTTGATTATGATCCAAGAATTCTTTGTTATACTTTGGCTAGGTTTGGCGTTCTCTAAAAAAGTTATAAAGTCAAAAAATCAAAAAGTCATTATCCTATTTAAGTCACATCACCTCCTTACAACATTACTTCAAATCCAATCCATATTTAATAAAAAGTTAAAAAATGCACTTATTTAGATCGTCTTAAACAATCCCTTTATGTGGTGTTTGGTTATAATTATTATTATTTTTTAGTTATGACTCTTACAATATTAAGTTATGTCATTTGTAATAATCAAACTCATAAATGATATAATTTACATATTACCCTACGTGTATATGGAACAAAATAATTCTTCTGCAATAAGTTTGATATGACAACTATAAATTAAGGAAGTAGTTTGGAATAGTACTTCTAATGACATAATTTAGGGGTTTTAATAAAATATAAATTTAATTTTGAACCAATCACATTTTTATTACTTAAAAAATAAAAAAAATAAATTGAAAAAAATAAATTGAGAGTTTTATGACATTTTTGCATTTAATAATAGTATAAATTTGTTTAAAAGTTAATTTGAGATAAATCTGATCAAAAGATTCTTGTTAGTCACTCCCTGAGCAAACATAACAGAATATTAGCGCATTGATGGAATAGCAACTGGTTTGTCCACTAAAAAATATTCTGCCGGAATAGACATTTTGATCAACCTTCTCCAACACCACTAAAAATATAATTGATTTGAAGGTTGGATTGTCCTTTGGAAGTGTTTGGAAAATCAAGTTTGAGGTTAAAATAGTCTCAAACAATAAAAAAAGTTTTTTAAGCTTCCTTTGGATATATGAGTTGAATTGGATTTGGAGCTAATTTAGTTACAAAAAGACAAAATAAATTTTTTTACCTTAATAAGACAAAATATCACATCCAACCAATAATCATTACATTCTTTCTCTTATAAAAAATCTGAAAAAAAAACAAAAAATCATTCTCAAACGAGACTTTTTAACCCTACGTTAAAATAGTCAAAAAATCAAAAAACTCACTTCCCAATTAAGCCCTTAGCCTCAAATAGTACACTAACTCATTGATTTAAAATAAAAATAAAAAATAAAAAAGACAGAGACTGTCATTGCAGGGACATTCTACACTGTGACCAACACAGTGTAAGCTGAGGCTACCACTGCCGTCCCACAAGCAATTAAATGATCATTTTGTCCATGTAGATCAATTTTGAAAAAAATAAGGCAAATTTATCATTCTAACCTCAAACATCATTTCAAGCACATTTTTCAATACAACCAATCCAAAAATTTAACCCAACTTCCTAAACACAAAAACTAAAATAGCCTATTAAAATAGTCAAAAAAACCAAAAAATTTAAAAAATAACCACTTCTTAAACACCCACTTTAACTGGTAACCACCAGTTGTGCTATTGCAGGAGAGAGAGGGGGCCTCGTGTGGCGCCATCTTGTTCTCCAAACAATATGAGAAAATTTTCCCGCAATTTTTTTTTTCTGTTTTATTGTTTGGTTGAGATGGTCTTGGAGTCTTGTTTATGTATGTTTTTGTTTATTAATATAGTTGTTTCTCATATTCTAAAAATAAAAAATAAAAAAACAAACAAACAAAGAAGCACAAGAACCAAAAATATTTTCCTTAAACAAAAAATATATATATATATAATCATCATCATGCAATATAATTGGCCAAACAATGGTTTTCTATAACTTCCATTCCACTCAGCAATTTGGATCACTACAAATACAAACTCTAAATAAAACTTTATAACAGAGAAAAATATATCACCGACGGCCATATGTAATTACATTGCTGAAATTACAAGCATGTAAACCTACCATGTTCCCTCTAGCAAAGAGAAACTGAACATCTTATTTCAATATCTGAAAAGAACTGGATTAAGAAAAAAAATATGCTTTAAATGGGGAAAAAAATTAAATTGATTTGAGTTCCAAAACTAGGAATTACTGTGTATTTGGGGTTTGAATTTTTAGGTGTCATCGGCGTCTTGGCTAGGAGGGGATCCGGCAAGCCAACCCCACATGCCGCCCGAGCTCTGCCTCTGTTTTGCACTCAAGGCAGCTTGTTCAGAGGCAGCCTTTTGTCTTTGAAGAAGTTCGAGTTCTTTTTGTAAGGTCTCCATAGTTTGCAGCTTTTGGCGTAGCTCTGCCACATCAACCTGGTGAGCTCGTAAGTGTTAGAACTAAACTCCTTTCCATTGAAGACACTTTAAAGGAAACCACCAAAATTACTCATATCACTCAAACCAACAAAATTAGAGAGCATTCAGTAGGTACGGTCCTTTCTCTTTGTTTCCTTCTTTGTTGGTGCAAGTTCAACTACGTATTGCCAAAAAAATTTAGCCGATTTTTTGCCTTCTTCCAATTTATGGGTGAAGTTTTTGGCTGAACTAATAACAATGTTTAAAAACGAAAGAAAAAAGAGAGCGACTGCATTCCTAATTTTACAACAACCAACCAAATTAACACGGCAATATTTGGCTTCATGGGAAAAAGTGGAGCAGTAGAACTTTGAGCTAACATTTTGTTTATAAAAAAATAAAAAGGAAAAGTAGGAGAAAGAAAACTACGAGTAAAAAGATTTTCCATTTTTCATTTGCCGTTAGGTTGCACAGAGGAAGAAAAGAAAATGAGAAGTAAAAATATGTCTACACTTCACATGAATCATGTATGCATATTTTGTGTATTATATACTCTTCACTTCCCAGGGATCAAAGTAGAGCCTCTTTTAATTGCATAGAAGATTAGATTTAGAAGGTAATATGTGGAGCAAAAACTTTTAACATTAAGTAGCTACCTCAAGTTTGAAACACCTAGACTGCTCAGTAGCAAGCTGACCACGGACAGCTTGAAGCTCCTGCAATGTCAATTTAGATATATGTCATTGGAGTCTGACTGAAAGAGACCATCACCTTATGCATACGTGAAGTCCAATTTTCAGTAGAATAAAAAAGGGTAATTTAAGTAAAAATGCAGCTTCAACATGTGACAGTAGGTAAACGAAAACAAGAAAATTGGCTGATGAGCAACAATCTAACTTCAGAACTAGATGTGGCTGCCTTCTTAAACTACTGCATTTCTTGCGAAATCCACAAGCCCTGATTAATCCAATGAGTTAAAGCAAGTTTATATGGTTACTTTCAATATTTCACATTGCACCCCACCCCAACATAAAAAATTATTACATTTTCTCTTATTCTTCCGAAATAATGGAAAATCTGGTCAATGTTTTTTTTTGGTTTGTTTTGATAATCGGCTATCTGAACCAGCTTATGCGCACCTCGACTAATCCCGATGCCCTAAAATTAATGACCGGGCAAACCTAGCCCCAAGGTTTGGGATGTTTGGCTTTCATAGAATTTCGCCCTACGACCTCTTGGCTGGTAAAGCCCTTTGGTAGCCTCTTCTCCTACTAAGCCAAACCCTTTGGGGTTTCTGGTCGAAGTTTTTTTTTTTTTTTTTTCTTTAAAAATTTGAGTGTATCAAAATCTGCTACCTAGATAGTTCTAGCATGAGAAACGGGAATGAGAACATCTTGTTCTAAAAATAGGGAAGATAGGGGTAGGCTTGTTAATATCATACTATTAGAATTTAAGGTACTTCTAACATATAGTCTATTATTTTCAATTAATCATGTTTAAGAAAAGTCTATAAGAATTATGGCCCAACTTTCTTCTTACATTTTTTCTACCCAAACCTTCACCTTCTTTAGATTTTAGGTCATTATCTTTAATTTTTTATCCTCTTAAGGAAATAAATAAGAAAGAGTTTTGGAATCGCTTTAGATAACTAAATTCACAGTTCTGAAATGAAGCGTATTATGTTTTGGAACAAGGAGGGGGAAAAATTAGGGAGCTTTTTCGGAGGAACGGCAAATTAAAAGGTTTAAAAAAATTAGGGTAATCTTTCAGAGGAAGTTAGTGTTCCATTTATGAAAAAGAGATGATGACATTTTTCCTACATTTCGCAATAAAATTCCATCAAGATTTATGAAGACTCGGAAAGACAATTTTTTCCTAAATATTTTCAAGATTTTGACATGGAAAAGCATTAAGGGTTTTAGTTGCAAGAAAACAATTGCAACATTATTGAAATTTCAATCATATGTTCAATTCTTAGTAGCAGGAAACTCCTAGGGGGGCCTCACTCCAGAACCTCAATCCCGTTCCCGCTCCCAAAACTCTTCTATAGGACCCCTGCTCCCCACTCCCGCTTCCACTATGTGCAACTGCTTAAATTGTCCAATATAGTGCAAACTTTGTTCATGTAAAATTAAATTTAAGCTTCATTTTTTTTTTTTTTCCCCCTAAAACAAGCCCGTAAGTCGGCAAGGAGTGCCAAGGACAATAATCTTGTAACAAACAATCACCTCCCCAAAGAACATATCAATTAAATGCACACAATGAGTTACCTTATACAAATCTGTGTTTCGTGCCTCAGCTTCAGTTAACTCTTGTTTTAGCTGGATATACTGTATCCTCTCCTTGCCGAGTGAAGATTCTATTTCCTCTTTCTCTGCCTTGAGAGTTGCTAAAAGATGTTCATTGCTTTCTTCACTTCTTGTTCTCTGCATGACACTCATGAACGTAAGCAGAAAGGTGTAGAATGACAAAATGCTAATAATGACATGATTCAGAAGTTGACTAGCATCGGGAATAGGGCAGACTAAAAAATTTCCAAAAGGTATTGGTCACTAAGAAATTCGAGCATATTGAGCCTATTTAAATGGGAAAGAGCAAACTGAATTTTATTTCATAAATCAAGGCTTATATTGACATTCTGAACTCGGACAATAAATTTGACAGTATACAATTGTTGGTACTGATTTGGGATTTTTTTAATGAAAAAGACTTGTTCCCATATTTACATTCGGTGGAGGGATAGCTAGTGTATAATATGAAGATTTAAAAAATTGTCATGATATTGTAATCTGTTAGATGTTACACTTAAAAATTCTCAAACAATTGTCCCACAACTACACAAATAATGTTTACAAAGAAGAGCTGTAGTCCAAATAAATTTAAAATTTTATATTAATTGCTAATTATCAGAAAGCAATTCTTGTTGTTTAAGAATCTTATAAAAACTCCACAAATGAAAATAATACAGTAATTTCCTGTAACAAAAACAATATGTGAAGTAAAGAATTTACACATCCACTTGGATGCATATTGCATGGCAACTAGATATAATAGAAAATTCAAAGAATTGGGTACCAATGAGATGTTTGTGTAATTACAATACCATGGGCTCTGAATCAACATTGTCCATGACGATTTCCCTTATTTTCCCTTCTTGGCCTGTTTCAAACTCAGACTCCACATCCCTGGCATTTGTTGCATTATGAACAGCTGATACACTGTCAGGCACAGAAGTCTCCATCATTTTTGATTGCAAGGTTGATTTGTGACTCGGTTTGAGGACGCTAACCTGACCACAATAAATATAACCAAAATGAGGAGAAGAACATAGCAGAATAAGCCCAGCTAAAGCAGTTTAAGAATACTCTTGACCTCATTGTTGTACCGTCCATTGTAACCTCCAAAAGATATTAAAATGTCTTCACCATTGTAGGAGCTCAAGACCAAACTCAATCCCTGCAATAGAACATAATTGAATTAGTTACTTTTTACCATGTAATAGGCTAGAAATGAAGGCAATCTGTATTATAATGTTGAACATATCACGTCCTTTGAACTAAACCCAAACCAGAATTATTTATAAAGAGAAAGAATAACTGCAAATCTTTAATAATGATGTCTCTATTTCCATGCATGTGCATCGCCCTGTCACAGTTAAAAAGTACAGCAATTTGCAAGTAATGCTCTAATTGAGAGTATCAACAATCTATCAATTATTGTACCAGGGAAAAAAGGACCATAATTGAATCATTCTAAAGACTACAGTATATGATGTATCCAGGTCATTCAATACCTAGCTTAATGGTTACTGAATATTTAAGCCTCGTAAAGTAAGACTAACACATTTCTTCTTAGGTACATCAGTAAGGCTTGTGACAACAGTCCTCCTGGCTGTTTGGTAACTAGTTACTCATAATGTTCAGCAATTACAAAGAATGAAGCACCATCCATCATTAACATAGGGATTAGTCTTGCATATCAAAATGCAAAAGAGAACAAATGTATTTTTCATTACCAATAATCCATAATTAACAAATGTAATTTTCATTAAACTTAATGAAATATCTTCCATGGAACGGTAAGGATGAATCAATGTTTTCTTAAAATGGACCAGATTGTACCATTGACTGGCTGTAAACTCTCAAAAGAATCACTCAAAAAAAAAAATGTACTTTCCGAGAAGATCATTTGTACCAGCAGCCCACCAGATAAGCATCAAAACCAAGAGACAATTTATTAACCTGGTTCATTCAGTGGGGGCAGTAAGATTTCCCTCCATTAGTAAAGGAGGTTCATATTGCAGTTCTTTCCTCCTTCCAATGCCTTGTTAAACCACCCATCATCTAACATAAATACCACAGTATATCATAACATCTGGATTTAGTCCACACTTCATCAAGTTTTTGTAGTCAGTAACGGAATCAACCACACTACTAAATCAAAATACCAAAATCACCAAATCTTCAGTTGTTGATGCAGTAGAATAATAATGCAAGGAGTGTTCTCTTTCCAAGTAATTTGTCTTTCAACTCTGGATTAAGGATCTCTGTGGATCTGAACTTCTTTACAACCCAAAGACTTTGGCATTTATCGTTTAATGATTTTCTATAACAAACTTGAAAGTAGAAAATCTGAATCTAGAATGCTTGTTGACATAACTATTCTACATATCTCCGAATATGACCGGTTAGAATTTTTTTCACAAAGTGCTTGCCATTCTTCTATTAGATAATAACTAACATCAAGCTAGATTGGTGCACACAATAAATGGTTCTGAAATGAGTACATATAAGTAATATATACCACGGATTCACGATGCTTTATGAACCTTTTTCATATGTGAGAGGAGAGAAAAAACTTGGAAAGTGTGCTTAAATGTTACATGCATGAAATCATGTTATGATGGGAACCACTTGGTTCTTGCATGGGCACATAATCATGCTTAAAGGGCAACAATAGTGAAGGGCTAGATGTAATAGAAATTAATAATGTTATCAAAAATCAAAACCCTCTCAAAAAGAAATAATGTTAAGGTTATTTTATTTTTTTGTTCTCTACCAAAAGAAAAAATGTTATGGCGCTCATGGTTGAGCATACCAACAAAAAGGTTAAACTTCCAAACCAGTAAAGTTTGCAACACGATTAAATTGTCCACACTCAAACCAGGCAGACTCAAATAAAAAAACAAATTCGCCATAAGTCCCATGTGTAAATTAGTAGGATTCTAAGGCTTCTTGACTGTTCACCTGCAGCAGTCGGTGCATGCAACTATATAGATGATGGTGTTGATGAGACAATGACAAATGAATGATCCAATAGACCTAATCATGCACATAAGAGTAAAGGATGAACAGTAGACTAAATAAAGTTGTAAATAAGCCACCCATAGAATGCCAATCCAAGCAGAACAAATGCATGCTCACATGAGCCAAGCATATGCATACAAATGCGAAGATTAGACCCATACTGCAATCATGCATGTACTAGCAACTCGCAAAATGCGGACCCAAGCAAGTCCACAGAGCTCCAAGATCTTTTGGGCCTGGTAACAACTTGCCTACTAAGCATACAAATGAAACATAATCCAATAGACCCATACTGTAATATTCATGATAATAACGAAAATCACCAATCAGTATGCTCCATTCAGAAGTCAACAAATATTCAAGAAGCTAATCAGAGAACATTGGATCAGTTTCTTGTGCATGTGAATCTCACTGGTACATACAGTTCAGATAGTTAGAGAAAGCCATAAGTTCACAGGAAGTTGTTAATCGCTTCAATTCATTTTGCTATCCATCCAAAATTTTAAAATGTCATCATGGATGCAGAAAACTTATGAAACCCAAATTGACATGACCATGTGCCTTACAAGTCATTAGTTTACAGAAAGCTTGATAAC